AAATGTAAATGATCTTTTCTATGAATCCTTTTGGGTTTGATCGCCCCTGTTTCCTGCACTGATAACGGACACTCAGATGCTTTCAGCTTCCATCACGTAAGCTCGTGTGGGCTGATCTTTCAGCTACTCGGCCTTTGGAGGTGCAGCTGAATGGGACAAACGCAATCACACTATATTCTGACAACCCAAGTTCTTCCTTCACTTCCAATGTAAGAACAGGAGGCCAAAACAACTTGTGGGAATTGATGATTCACTTTTTAAAGATAATAGCTCTCTTCAGATACTAAATACCACTTAGACTACCCATTTCAAAGCACTAAAAGGTCCTCTGAAGTCCTTGGTATTATTTAAGTGAAGCATATATGAATATTGTAATGCACAGGGTGCATCAATAACAGAAAAGCACTACCCACAAGTAAGATTGATTCTTTCAGGCGGTTTAGACCACTTACCAGGATGAACAAACCTGCTTTTTTCAGTTAGTAATATTAATAATTAATACTTGAGTGCCCATAAAGTAAACTTGAATGAGCCTGGTCATCTGAATTTTAACATATTTTAAAATTGTATTTCAAAGTAGGAGGTGTATCTTATTTAGTGTTGGTGACAGATTGGTATTGATGTGTATGTATTTTTAACATTTCTTTAGTCAACCCTCTTCTACAATTAGAAAAAGGAGGGACATAAACTGACCGACTGCACTTATTTTGACTTTGTAAAGCATGCATGTGTAAAAAATTTTGTCTTTTCAATTCTATTTTGCCTAACTTAATATTAAAATTAGTTTTTAATTTTTGAGTATAAATTGAAGTCAGTTCAGGGACAGCTTAAGGTGTCAAGGAGAAGCAGGTCAGAGATGGATGGCTAATAAAGGGTTGATATGAAAGTAATAATTCTACAGACATTATGTTAAAACCAACTTTAAGGAAACCTACATAACAGCACACAGCAAAATTTAAAACCCAATCTAATTTGTTTCAAATAACCCACCACAGTAGAGATTGCTTTCCTTTGTTAAATGCTGTGTGAAGATTAGTAAAATGAATCTGAAGAACATACAGTCACCTAAAGGTACCTTACTTGAGCCTTACTGAGCTGTACCTTTAGGTGTATGCCAGAGAGGAGCACCAATTGTGTTTTAATTCAAAGTCTTAACTCAGTAATTTAGTTCAATATTTTAGGGCAGGGGTTCTCAAACTCTTTGAAATCAGAACCCCTTTATACTCCTTATTTATGTGGAATGTAACTACTGATATTTACCATATTAGAAGTTAAAACTGAAAAATTAAAAAATTTATTAATTCAATTAAAAATAGCATTAATCCCACTGTGTGCTAACATATTTTTATTTAAAAAATTGTATTTTCAAAGCAACAAAAAGTGAGGTGGCATCTTCTATTTTTTAAAATCTCTTTAATAGAAGAGAACTGGATTCTACATTTACTCTGCTTCTCCACTGACTGTTGTGATATTTGTTTTGGTTGATTATCGAAGAAAATCCAGCCTAACAACCATGTAGTTGGAAAAAGATGAATTTTAATAGCCTTTTCTGGTAACTGTGGATATTCCTTGATACTACATCAAAACCTGACAAGTTTTAGTTTCTTAAAGGTTGTGTGATGTAACAATAGGTTAGTGAATGATATTTTCCTACTCTATTAGATAGTAAAATTCATTGCTCTACCTTGCACTTGGAATGGATTGTTTGCGCAGGATTTTTAACATCATCCATTGGTCATTTGGAAGTATCAGCTCATTGAATGATGTGGATCTTCCCACTGCAGACACATTTTTTTTTCAGCAGTGGAAAAGGGCAGTAACATCTCAGCATCATTATAAAAATAGCTTTGACCTTGGGGAACCTTGAAAGGGTCCCGGGAATTCACAACGGACTGCAGACGACACCTAGACAACCCCTGTTCAGAATTACTCAGGGCGTTTGGAGAATCTAGGTGACGAGGCATGGTGCAGGAGAATGGAGAATACATGTATGCTTTGATATCGTGCTCAAGACCATTTTGACGATCACCCTTGGTTGGTGGAGAACTTAGGGGCACACACTATTTAAAGGAACTATATGCTAAAAGTTCTTAAAAAGTAAAAACAGTTGTTTCATTAAGTACTATGTGTAAGTGCCCAATTCCTATCTTTGCACACGACTCTTTCTTGAGGTGAGGAGGTCACATGATACATACCTCATGCATGTGAACTGCGGATTATGTGTTTGAGCACAGATGCCAGGCTCTGACTTGTAACGTGGCCTTTGTACCATAAAAAAAGAAAGGTAGTAAATGCCTTGGACTGCCAACTCCCAGTAATCGTTCTGTGGCTATCGACTCCATCTCTTAATGGCCTATCAGCATTGGAAAGACCCTGGATCTTAGTTACTATTGATTCCAAGTAGTATTTTAATTAAGTTTAATTTACTAATAAAAATTATAACTTACGTGAGCCTAAAAAATGTTTTAAAATGTTCTCAATCCAATGCTTAGGATGTTTACTTTTCTTAACTACAGGAAATAAAAATTCTCAACTCCCTTTTAGGCTTCCAGGGTCATGCTTTGCAACCTGAAGACCAAAAGCAGTATGTAAAGTGGTCAGTGCCCTTTCGCCAGGAGCACTTTGAAATTCATGGTAGAGTTTCCAGCCCACCAGCAGTTCTTCCTTTACTGTGACAGCTTGGTGCCACACTACTTGCCCAGTCTTAAAGTTACTTGAGAGAAAGATGAGTGGATCTAGGGATGAGGAACTGAGAGACAGGCAGGAGACGGCAGGAGAGTCTCCAGCTCCAAAGAAGCTGATCCCAAGGCAAATGTCATGTATCAGCCTCAGATGTTTCCTTCAGTCCCTACCTCTATATTTCATTAATTCTCAAGCTGAGCAAAGCCTATCCCCTTATGCACGGATATGCAGTGTTCTCAAGGTACATATCCTTGGAGGTCTGGGGTGAATAAGATTTCACATTATATCATAAAATTTTTTATAGCACAATAGCACAAAACTTGGAGGGCAGTGGAAAGTTCATATTAATCTTTAAAATAAAAATGAAACGGTCAGTATGGCCGTTTTTATTCTATGACTTAAAACATGCCTAGTGTTTATTCTCTGCTGTTGGAGTATTTTGGTAGGCGAGTTTGTGGAGCACTATCTATTTACACTGTCTTTGAAGAGAAGCTTTAAAACTTACAAGCAGCGGGACTGTACAACAAAGCTTTAGTGGTGGTTTATTGCCACCTTTTAAGGACACCTTCACTGTTGACTATCAGTGGTACTTAGTGACACTGGTATAGTATTTCTTTGTACTTTTCAGAGCTTACAATGGTTTCAATAAGATTAATTCTTTGGCTAGAAGATAAACTTATATACACCCCATATATGAGAAACCCCCAGTTTAAAGGAATGTAGTATTAGTAGTAATTTATCTTCTTAAAAATTACCTTTTAACAATGTTAAAACACCCTGGATAGAGACCAATAATGCAACGTAAACTTTAACAATTTTGGTCTGTAATAAATCAGAGAAATGAGGATTTAAAATGTCTTAATTCTGATTTTCTAATGAAATTTCAGGCCTCTCCGATTAAAATACTAGTGCTATGTACACGATGTTCCTGTGTTGCATCAGGGCCAACATAGATGGTTCGTCCTAGCAAGGACAGAGCAGCCCAATTAAGGAAACCCACAGCACCCTGGAGTTCAGCGAGCCCGTAACTCCGACTTTTAATGTTTTAAGACAACCTATGAAAATGAATACAACTGAAACTCACGCACTAGCGTGTTCCCTCTATGATGAACAAGCGAACGCTGCAGATGGGTGGGGGGTGGGGAGCAAAAAGCCTGGGATTATTTCCCTAAGGCATAATTAGGAGTTGAGCAGTTGCAAATTCTTGCAGTAAATGGCATAGCAATAACTAACTGTATTTTGACTCTGCCCAATGACTTTCTTGCCTGCTCTGCTATCCTTGCTTTCTTCTTTATTGCCTTCTTTAATTCACTACCAGCTAAATGCGACAAAAACCTCGCTTCCTAAGCATCTTCTGTACTACTAGTTCTCTATGCAGCCTTGTTCAAATATTAATAGCCTGGGATTACGCTACACAGAGAAAAAGCAAGGGGCTGGGAAGCGGCCTCCGCGCCCCGACCTCCCATTCTCGCAGCCCTACGGGGTGTGAAGACTACGCGGGCAGGGAGCGTGGCTCCAGGTCGCCAGTCTCACGATGCGAGGCAAAGCAGGTAGAAACCACAGCGTGGCTGTGCGCCTTATCGGAGACGCACATCGCCGGTGGAGCGGAAGCCCGAGACTTCCCGCTCTGCGCGCCCACACCCGCTGTCCCGGCAGCAGGCTGCGACAGGCGAGGCACCTAGGAAAGCCTACGTTTGCCCGGCCCGCAGCATAGCCGCCCAACGGCCGCACCGCCCTGCCTGCTCCGCCCCGACCCAGGGGGCGGGGCTAGCCAGACTCCAGGGGGCCCTGAGGGACAGGCGCCGCGCACCCCGGCCCGCCCCCATTCCCCGGGGCCTGAAAGGAAAGGAGGGGAGGGGCGACGCACTCAGGCTGCGCCGTCCCACGTGCGCGCGCGCGCCCGCCCCAAGTCCCGCGGAGTTTAACACAATGCCGACGCCTACGCCGTGCGCTACGCCCCGGCCGGCGCAACAGTCCCGGCGCCGGGGGCGGAGGGTGGCCAAACAAGGAGAGGGGAAGAGCGCGCGCGAGAGCCGGAGACAGCGCGAGACCCAGAGGCCGGAAGCGCGCGTGCGCGCCCCCGCCCGCGGGCGGGGAGGCGGAGCCGCAGCAGTAGCGGCAGCAGCTGTAGGAGCCGCTGCAGCTGGGAGAAGCGCCAGAGAGGCCGGGCCTGCTCCGGTCGGACCGGATCCCTCCCCTCCCCCTCCCTCACCGCTCCCCTCCCCCAAACCCACTTCCGCAGCTCGCGGCCTTGCCGCCGGAGGAGCAGCGGCGGCAGCAGCAGAAGGCGGCGGCGAGGCGTCAGAAGGATTACGCACCTGACGGGCCCACCTCTTGGGGCTCCAGCGCGGGACGCTCACCGATCGCCGCCGCTCGGGACGCACTTCGCGGAGGCGGCCAGAAGGGAGGGACCGGCGACGGGGAACGGAACGCGAATCGCCCCCTCCCCTTTCTCCCTCCCTCCTCCGATCCGCCGCCCGCCCTCTCGGCTTCCGTCCCCTCCCCCTCCTGCAAAACCCCGGATGAAGCCGCCGCCGACTCGCCGCCGCCTGGCTCCGGGGGATGGTTTTGTCAGGCGGCCAGAGCCCCGGCGCCAGGCGCAGCCGCCGCCGCTCCCAGGGGCGCCCCTGCCCTCACTTCCCAGAACCGGGTCCCCGTGTGGCCCAGGCCCTCCGCCTGCCTTCACCCGGAGCCCCGCGACCGGGGTCATTCGACTTCTTTGTTGCCACCGTCGCTGCCGGAACCGTTTGCGAGGTCCGGTGGCCCCCGCCCCCCCTCCGCCTTCCCGGATCCCGGGCAGGGGGCGGCACGTGGGCACCAGCCCCGGGAGGCGGAGGCGGTGCGTGCTTACCTGTCGCCGGTGCTGCTGCGGCGGGGGGTGTGGAAGAGGCACCGCTGGGCAGCCTTGGCCGCGCTCTGCCCGCCGCCGCCGCCTGTCCCTCTCGCTAGTGCTGCTGCTGCTGCCGCTGCTGCCGCGGTCGGTGTCTCCGGCGCGGCGGCGGCGGCGGCGGCGGGGCTTTTCCTGTCCGGTTACGTTAAGGTCACATGACCGAGAGAGCGGAGCGACTAGTGCAAAGAGGCTGAGAGCGGCTCCCGCCGGGGGGGAGAGGCGGCGAGAGAGCAGTGGCGGCAAGAGCCCCCCTCCGCCCCCCTCCCGCCGCCTCCCCTCCCCCCGCCCGCCTCCGCCTTCGCCTCCGCCTCCTGCTGCTCAGCCGCCGCCGCCGCCGCCGCCGCCTGCAGCACTGACTACACTGCCGCTCCCGCCCAGGCTCCGCTCTCTGCTCCGGCCAAACTTCTGTAAACCATGTGCAGCCGAGGCGAGCAAGGAAACTTCTCTCCACTTACTGGGGCTGGAGGCTTGAGTCACAAGCCCCGTGTTTACATAAAGTGTTTAGGTAGGACGACCCTGGAGATATTCAGGGAAGAGATGGGGCACTGGGGCTCGAATCCTTCTGCAAGCTTCTGCTTGACATCTCTGGGCGTATGCTTTTGTCCCTTGACTTCCTGTGTTAGCCTAAGTTTTAAGCTTAAGGCTTGAAATGGAGTGGACTTGAGAATCAAAAATAATTATAAATCACGAATACCTTTTATCCCCAATGGTAATCGAAAAGTCATACTGAAGGAGAAATGCCTGTTTATGCTGTGTGTAGAGGTAGAGGTGCTAATTTATAGACTAGTTGAGTGTGATATAAGACGTTTCTGTTAGACGTTTTTGTTAGTATTGGATTTGATGTTGATTTCAATAATTGGGTTTTACCTGTTGAAGCTTTGGTCCAAAAATATCAATAGTGTGCAAAACGTGTTTGTTACTTGAGAACAGTTTACTCTCAAGTTTGGCTTCTGAGGTGCTGTTAGAGTGGAGTCCAGAGTTGGCCATTCTGTAAATTTACAGGTGCTGAAATCTTTTTAACAGGGAGCTCCTGAAATGTATCAGGTCAGGCAAGGGACTTGGGTCCTCTGATAGTCATTCTTAATATTTTACAGTTAACCGTTGTGTTGTTGTCATTTTGATGGAATTTTACATCTGTGGAGGCACACTTTAGTCCCTTGAGGACTGAGTTGAACCATTTATTTATTTTACATGTATAGTATTTTGAAGACTCAAAAGAATGGGGCTTGATTTGTAGGGGAATAGAAGCAGCAGTTTCCAAGGTACTCTGGTTTTAAAGCATGTTACCTTGATTATAAGGTTCTTGATTTGATGTTGAACCCACTTCGGTTTACATAGCACAGTGCCGTGGCACATAGTTCACAAATACTTAAGGCAAACTCACCATCTTAAGACAGTTAATTTAACACACAGAACTGCCCCTTCTAACACTCTCAGAGTTTGATTTAGTAATCTAGTTAGTTGTACCAGGGCTGCTGATGACTAATTCTTTCTTTGAATACAGAATAAATAAGTAGCTGTGTAACTATAGTGGTCCAAAGCGAATAATAGATTTAGTGCATACCTGCCTTGAACTTTTCTTGTTCTTTGATCAGCTAGATAAATGACTTGTTGAGTGGTTAAATGTCTGTCTGCAAAACCAAATTCTGACCCTGACATAAGTATTTCTAGTGCACTATCACTGAAACATCAAAGTGGGCCTTCAGACTGGTGTGCCTGGTTTCTTGGATTGTTTCTATGGTTGAGATCTGTTTCATCTTATTAGGAAATTAAAGTGATTTTGATTGGTAGAGAGTCACAGTAAAGATCTTTGGGTTCTTAGTTCTTTCAGACCTTGACTTTGAACTTTCTGAAGTTTATGGTCTGATGGAGTGAGTGCTCACATGGAGAGTGAACTGATTTAAAAGAAACTAAAGGAAAAAGTGGGCAAAACTAATGCTAAGGTTGTAAGTTGAAGCCATTGGATAGAAGCTTGCTTATGTGTTTAGGGTAACTGGCTTTGAATCAAAGAAACTGCTTATTCTTAAAAACAGCAAATAGTTTCTCAGTACTATACTCTATGTAGTTGTATAAAAATAGATCCAGGGTTTATCCCTGAAACTCAGTCTCATTCCTAGAGAAAGTGCCGTCAAGGACCAATCTGCCTTCTCTTCAGGAGCTGCTAGTTTTCTCAAGACAGGCATGCATGCTTGAATTTTGTCAGGTATGCTAATTATTTTGATTTTTAGTCACCATCATGTCATAGCATTGTAAGGAATGCTATGCAGATTATATCTGCTTTCTACAGCTTGTCAAAGTTGAAATATTTAGATGGATGCATATGCAAAGGTTGGGGAGAAAACCTTAGTCCTTGCAAGAAGGGCTAGCTGTGTATCTCAGGACAGGACCAAGAGAAGCTGTTAGTCTGGTGGTGGGAGAGCCACAAATGCCCGGAATTAAGTAATAAGAAAAATACGTTAAATCATCTGTTTAGTGTTTGTGTGCTGATTTATTTTGTATTTTGGAAGTACATTTGGCAATTTAGGAGTTCAAAAATAGTTTCACACATTTTCAAAGAAAACCACAGTGCAAGGAAATAATCTAAGTGGATTCATCAAAAGTTGTTATACATAAATATTCTGCAAACTCTTGTAGTGCTGAAAGTTTTGATATGTTAATGCTGAGGCATGAGGAAAATATGTGCTTGCTTGTGTTCTGAAGAAGAGGGTTCCAGTGAGACTTGGACAGTGGGCAGAAAGTGATTTAATAATACTGTACTTTATTTTCTTTGTGGTAGAAATTTGCAAGTGTGTGTGCTTAGGTTGAAGATGGAATTTCTTTTAACATTGATTATTAAAGTAAAAGAGGAATTCATAAATGTGGGTAGGTCCCAGAGCAGCTTTTTCACTATAGTATTTTATGGGTAACCTCTTAGATTTAGAAAACAATATGCTTTTACATGTTAGACTTACAAGTCTACTATGCCCTGTGTTTTATATCAAGCCTAACATATACATCAGAAAAGATGTATTTTGCGAGTATCTTATATATCATTGGTTTTGTTACAAAATTTATGGAAAATGCCTATTCTATAGTTGGTTGCTGTTGAGACCACATTCCATAAAGATTCCCAATACTTTAGGGAATGTTTTATCTTAAACCTAAGTGTAGGCTATGGGTTTCAAACTTCACTACTGATGCTAAGAAATATATTTTGTTAAATGCTACTTGGCATACATATACATGTGAAATTGAAGCAAAATTTTAGGAAGTAGTACCTGTTACCTGTTATATACTCTTCTATCTTTTCTAACTAGTTCATTTTTTACAAAAAATTTTTTATCTGTTTTCAGAGAGGAGAAAGGAGGGAGAAAGAGAAGGAAGAAACATTGATGTGTGAGATAAATATCAGTTGGTTGCCTCTTGTTCGCCCCCAAATGGGGACCCGGCCTGCAGCCCAGGCATGTGCCCTGACGGGAATCAATCTGGTGACATTTCTGTTAGCAGGCCGGCGCTCCATTCATTGAACCACACGAGCCAGGGTTAACTAGTTCAGTTTAAAGAAGTGACTGTGGTGCCTAAAGTTGATTTTACCGATCACAAATGGATCAGGGTTCAAAGTTTGAAAATTGTTTATTTCCTGCATTGTCTGTGGGTCATGAATCTGGGGGGTAGCTTAATTAGGTTGGTAGTTCTGGGTCAGGGTCTTTCATGAGTTTGCAGTCAAGATGCTCACTGGGCCAGACGATCTGTTTTTAAGGCGGCTCGTGCTCCAGCAGGTTAGTTCTTGCAGGTGGCAGGTCTGTCCTCTTCCATTGGACAGCTTGAGTGTCCTCACAACGTGGTGGTTGGCTTCCCCTAGAAACAGTGAACCAAGAAAGAGCAAGGAAGAAGCCACACCATCACTGCCACATAATGTTAGTTAAAAGCAAGTGTCACACCTTGGTCGGGTGGCTCAGTTGGAATGCTGTGCCTTGTAGCGAAAGGTTGCTGCTTAGATTCCTGGTCAGACCATATACCTAGGTTGTGGGTTGGTCCCTGGTCAGAGTGTGGGAGGCAGCTGGTCAGTGTTTCTTTCACACTGATACCTCTCTGCCTGTCTGTCTCACTCTCAAAGCAGCGGTCATACCCTTGGGTGAGGATTAAAAAAAAAAAAAAATCAAGTCACTAAAGCTAGCCTAAGGCCAAAGGTATTAAGATCCGTGTCTTGAAGGGAGGAGCATCAAAGAATTTGACATTTTAATAACCAGCAAAGTTCTTACATGTTTCCTGTTTATGGATGAATTAGGATTGAATTGGAAGCCTTCCTGAAGTCAATCTGCAAGTAATTATCATTAAATATCATAGTTAATTCATCGTTATCTCTGAGGGCATCTAGTCTCATTCCCTCCTTACTCTTAAATCTGAGAAAGCAGGCTCAAAGAACTTAAGTATTGAACTAGCCCAGGGCCATTCACTCTAGAAAACAATATTTTTCTCTGACTTTGGTGATGAATAATCTGTGCTCATAAAGATGAGAAAATTGGCTGATTTTTAAGAAAAAGTCTTTTCTAAAGTTACAGTGTATAACTTATTTAGTCTTCCAATTTGTAAGCTTTTATGTATTAGAACTTACACTTTCAACTTGTTTGTCCTACAGGTAATGCTTGATGTCTTTATGGCTTTATAGATTCCTCACACTGGCACCTCCCCTACTCTTCATTGATGTTTTTGAGGACACAGAAAATAGTCAGTTGACAGTTGAACATGGGGGTTAGGAGTACTGACACCCTCTCTCCCCAGTTGAAAATCTGATTATAACTTTTTTTGTCACCTGAGGATACGTTTTTTGTTGATTTTAGAGAGAGAGAGGGAAAGAGAGCACAGCATTGATGTGAGAAACATTGATTGGTTGCCTCCTGAATACTCTCTGCATG